TGCCAGGTGCCATGGTTGGAGCAGTTTTAGGTTCACAGCAAAATTAAGAGGAGGGTACAGAGATTTCCCGTGTTCCACCCACCCCCAGACATACAAAGCCCCCCCATCAATGAACTGCACTGACCAATCATCATCGTCCGAAGTCCATAGTTTATGTTGGGGTTCAGGCTTTCGTGTTGGACATGCTACGGGTTTAGACAAAGTCACTGACATATGTGTCTGCCCGTCCCCAAACACCTCTACACTCAGGGTTAGTACTGTTTACCGCATCATCCGACACCTGAAGTAGCCTGTGCATTCACGGAGCTGTTTGCTGTCACTCTGGAAAGCCCAAGTAGAATTCAAAATAAGGGGAAAGGACTGAGCCTTCTCATCGTGAGGCACTAAGTGTGTCCCAAATGTTGCAGTCTTTGTCCCTTGCAATATTCGGGACTACCTACATGTCAAAGGCGTTCGCTGTCTGAAATTCAAATATTACTGGACTTTTCTCTTGTATCTGAGAAACAAAGCCCATGGCAGCTATGGAATCAAAATGTCTGAGAAGGGGGGAAATGCTTTTTGAGAACTTGGAAAGTATTCTGGGGTACATAAGAACATCCAGTAGTGACTCAGTCATTATTACAACTGTAGCGATGTCAAATTTTGTAAGTCGCATGAACTGAGGAGTCTAAAGCAGTGCAAGGTGAACCCGTGTACCTCGAATGATCTCCCATTAGCTTGTGCTGATTTTACAGTGTCTCGTCCTTGTTTCTGATTGATCTTCAGTTGATTGTGAATTGTTCTGAACGTTCCTCTGTTCCTAGGTTAAGTCAGGAACTTTTGAATGGAGCAGGGAGGCCAGGTGTGTGAGTCCTGTTGTAACACAAAGAGTTGTTGTTGTGGTCGTTGGAACTCAAAGACTTTGTATCTTGATTGATCATCTCTACTATACCTCTTTTTGACATTCTCTTGTAGACATACTCTACAAGTACGGTTTTTTGAAACTAGGCACACCTGTATTTTTTTCCTCTTTCATCACTTGTTGAGAGAAATGGGTGATTTCTCATTTTTTTTTTTAGGAGAAATAGTTTTGTTTCTTTGGAACACATTATTTTAAAGGGTTTCTTTAGTTTTATTTTTTAAAAGAAAGCGTCCTAAAGCGAGTCACGTTAGAAAGCAGTGCACAGGCAATGACAGTTAACAGTGCCCTCCCGCTGGCCCAGCCCTGGCCCCCGCTGATGAAACCTCTTCCCCGGAGAACAAACAGGAGCCCTGGCCTCAATGCTGGGCGAGGCTGCACTGAGAGCTGAGGCTGCGAAGAAGGGGAGGAGGTTGGCTTTCAGCTCCCAGATGGGAGATAAGGGTGCCACTCAGGGCATCGCAAGCTTCCCCATGTGATGTGCGCAGTTCATTTGGTAGCCTTTCTCTGTCACGGTGCGATTCTCAGCTGATGTCCCCGTGTCACCTTGAAAACCTCAGAGCTCTTTCCCCCTCCTAAAATGACCTGATTCATTCAACAAACAGCTACCGGGGCTCCAGAGACCAGATCCTATTCTGAGCACTTGGAGTCCGTCAGTGAACCAGCTAGACCAAGTTCCTGCCTCTTGAACTTGGTATTCTGTCAGGACAGACAGACAACAAATAACCAACTCAGAAATCCGTTAGGCACTGTGTGAGGATATGGCAGGCCTTGTGGGGGTAGGCAGCAGGGCGGTGGATCTGGATTCAGAGTTGGAGGGTTGCGTTTTGAATGGGGAGGCCAGTGTGGGACTTGCCAGTGGCCACATTTGAGCAGAGACTGGAAGGAGACGTGGGAGTGGCACAGGCGCTCTGGGACTCAGAGGTGGAGGCATAGGGGGGAGGCGGCACAAAGCCCCACCCCCTGCCTGTGTTTGAGCTGTGGCTCTCAGTCCGGATGATTTCACCCCTACAGGACAGGCCGTGTGGCAATGCCTGGAGACACTTCGGCTTGTTGTGAGCGAGGTGGAGGTGCTCCTGGCGTGTTCTGGGCTGAGGCCAGCGATGCTACTAGGCATTCAGTAGTGCCGGGACAGCCGGAGGGGAGGAGGTGGGAAGTGAAGAGGGAGGTGAGGTCAGAGGTGACAAGGCTGAGGAGAAGGGGCTGGCCAGGTTAGGCAGGGCGGTATGGACTTCGGCTTTTACTCTAAGAGAAATAGGGAGCGTTGGAGGTTTTTGAGTGAGTGTGTTGGGGGCGGGGGTGGGCTATGGCCTGAGTTCAGAGTTTAAAGAGTGCTCCTCTGGCTGAAGGGAGGACAGTAGATCAAATCAGGGCAGGAGGTGAGGATGAAGGAGGGGGAAGGCATCAGGGACTATTGAGGTTACGCAGGCAAGAGATGCGGAGGCCCTGGCCAGGGCCGAAGTAGCTGTGTGACCTCCACGCCATGGAGACTTCAGTGCTAACTCTCCCATGCAAAGCGATGAGGCAGTCTAGGCATTGCAGCCCCAGCCTGTCCATGATATATCATCCACTCACATTATAGATAGGAGGGTACCTCAAGGGTGGTGGAAAAGTGGAATCAAACGAGAAATTCCCAGGAGCTGCTTGGGAGGCCGAGTGCCTGGGTTCAAGCCCCAGATCCCAGTTTCCTGCTAAGCGCACATCCTGGAGGCAGCAGGAACAGACCAAGAAGGTGGGCCCCTGCAGGGAGCCACGTGGGTCCACCCACAGGTAGCCCTGTATTGAGTTCCTGACTCCCAGCATTGGTCCCAGTCCAGCCTTGACCACTGCAGGCATTTGAGGAATGAACCCATGGATGGGAATTCTATGTCTGTCTCTCAAATAATTTTTTAAAAATCTTATTTAAAAGTATAAGCTTACTTTGGTACAAAAGTTTTTAAAATTCATGGTTTTTTCATAATATGCATTTCTATGAACTCTCTGAAGCACACTCTTATGTACATGTATGGGTCTGTGTACATGTATAAACCTGTATTACCTACACATCTATATGGTTAGGTTGCCTTAGCTAGCTTTTGTTTTACATAGTAGGATATCTGATACACTTTAGTAATTAGGTTAGGTTTGTGACAAATCAGCTTGACCTAGGGTAGACCTAATCTAATCTTTCTATGTTTTAACACACTCCTGGCCAAGCCATTCTGAGGTCTTGAGGTCTATATTTCTAAACCACACAGAACCTGAAACATAATAAATTACTTGGATGGGTAAGAGAACAATAGCAGGCTTAGTACCCAGCAGACAGAGGCGTCTGAATTATTATTTTTTGTTTTGTTTTGTTTTGAGAGGCAGAGTGGACAGTGAGAGAGAGAGAGACAGAGAGAAAGGTCTTCCTTTTGCCGTTGGTTCACCCTCCAATGGCCGCCACGGCCGGCGCACTGCGGCAGGTGCACCGTGCTGATCCAATGGCAGGAGCCAGGTACTTCTCCTGGTCTCCCATGGGGTGCAGGAGCCCAAGCACTTGGCCATCCTCCACTGCACTCCCTGGCCACAGCAGAGAACTGGCCTGGAAGAGGGGCAACCGGGACAGAATCCGGCGCCCCGACCGGGACTAGAACCCGGTGTGCCGGCGCCGCAGGCGGAGGATTAGCCTAGTGAGCCACAGTGCCAGCCCTGAATTGCTTTCTTCTTTTAGAAATGGAATAACTTGTTCCCAGGGTCAGTCTTCTCCCACTCCACCAAAGCAGATGGCTGAAACCCAGCAGGAAACAGCAAGAGATTGCTAATTTGTACTTGCACCCAGGGGTCTCAGACGTCCTCTGTGGTGCCTCCCTGGAGCGTACATCTCTTGTCTTGTTTGCAGCCAGAGAGTGGAAGCCATGCCACGCCCCCAGTGGGCCTGCCACTCCAGTCGAGGGCGTGTCCATCCACAAACAGCATCACCTGCTGCTGTGGTCCATTGAAATGCTGTGCGAGGGGCTGATGTTGTGGCGCTTAGAATACCCGTATCATATATCAAATGGAGCACCAGTTCCAGTCCCAGCTGCGCTACTTCCCATCCAGCCTCATGCTGATGCATCCTGGGAAGGCAGTGGATGACAGCTCAAGTGTTTGGGTCCCTCCCAGCCTCGTGAGAGACCCAGATGGAGTTCCTGGCTTCTAGCTTCTGCCTGGCCCAGCCCTGGCATGGCAGGCATTTGAGAAGTGAACCAGTAAGTGGAAGGTCTCTCTCACTGTCTCTTCCTTTCTGTGTGTCACTCTGTAAATCAATCAACCTTAAAAAAAATAATAAATGCTGTTGGAAGTTATCAGCATCCCTTTTTATTAATGTCATGCTGTTTAAATGAAATGGCACATTTGTCTCTTGGCGAGTACAATTATATCAGCTGTGTCCCCATTCCTTAAGTCTTTCGAGAAGTTAGGAAAGAGTGGGGTACGTGAGCTCTTTGTGTGTTCTGCAGGGTGGTTCTTGTCTCTCGTAATCATATAGTATCAGCGTCAGCTTCAGGCGACAACACTCGGGGTTCCAGATGAAAGTAGCAATGCTGGGAGACCTCAGCGTTTTCCATTTTTCTCAAAGCTTGGACCATGGACATCAGAATTGCTCAGGCGCTTGTTTAAAAACGCAGCCTCCCTGGTCCCTCCCCAGACCACTTGACTCGGGGTCTGTCCGGGCAGGGCCAGGGATCTGCACTGCAGGGTGCCTCCAGGGCGTTCTGCACACTCTAGTTTGAGGGCCGCCACTCTAGGCCACGAGACAAGGACCAAAACCCAGCCCTGGAGGATCGCTCTGCTCACAGCAGCCTCCCTCTTGACTTGTTGCCCATGGCGGCCTCATTGAAGTGCAAGTGTGCAGCTAGGGATTTGTTTTCCACAAGGCACTGTGTCACCCACCGCATCAGCCTGGAGGGTGCACTGTGGCCTCCATCGGGGCTGTGGGGCGCGAGGTTTACAGCAGGTGCTTAGCTTAACTGGCTGGTAGTTTTGCTGTGGGTCCCATGTTGGCTGACTTCCGGGGGGACGGGGGTGCACTTTGATCTAGATCCTGCCTGGCATGACCACTGCTGTCTCACGTAACATTTTCTGTTTTCTTGTTGCACAGCAAATATGCCAGAGCATTATCCTGATCAGTTTGACGATGTCATGGATTTTATTCAAGCCACCATTAAAAGACTGAAAAGGTCACCTGATAAACAGATGGCAGTGCTTCCTAGAAGAGAGCGGAATCGGCAGGCTGCAGCTGCCAACCCGGAAAATTCCAGAGGAAAAGGCCGGAGAGGCCAGAGGGGCAAAAATCGGGGGTGTGTCCTCACTGCGATACACTTAAATGTCACTGACTTGGGTTTGGGCTACGAAACCAAGGAGGAGCTGATATTTAGGTACTGCAGCGGCTCTTGCGACGCAGCTGAGACGATGTATGACAAAATATTGAAAAACTTGTCCAAGAGCAGAAGGCTGGTGAGTGACAAGGCGGGGCAGGCATGCTGCAGACCCATTGCCTTCGATGATGACCTGTCGTTCCTAGACGATAACCTGGTTTACCATATTCTAAGAAAGCATTCCGCTAAAAGGTGTGGCTGTATCTGACTCCGACTCCAGAGACTGCTGTGTATTGCATTCCTGCTACAGTGCAAAGAAAGGGACCAAGGTTCCCAGGAAATGTTTGCCCAGAATGGAAGATGAGGACCAAGAAGGAGGAGGAGGAGACGGAGGAAGAGGAAGAAGGCAGCCGTCGTGGGAGCCTGGTAGAGGGAGATCCAGCTACAGAAGACTGGACAGGAGAGAGAGCAAAGGGCCGTCTGGACCCTCCAGGATGGCCGCCGATGCCAGCAGAAGCTCGGGGCTGGGGTCCCTGGCTGGCTGTGACGTCATCCACCGCCAGCTATCGCAGGTACAGTTGCGGATGCACTCGAAGAACCACACCAGTGTATCTCCTGGGGTCTGTGCTCACCAGGGAACCCATCGTCCTGGTGTCACTCCTTGTCATTATGTTTTACTGCTGGAAGTCAGAGAGGCGCGTTTTTGCTGTCACTCAGTGGAGACCTGCCCTGGAAAGGAGAGGAGGCAAACAAACATACAAACAGAAACGTAAAGACGCAAGAGATGCCAACTTTTGGATTTGAACGCTGAGGCCTGAGGTCTGCTACAGCCAGCATTTTGGGGGAACGCTGGGTGGTGGACCTCGAACATGGTGTGAAGGGTGGGAAGAAGTTGTCTAGGAACCAAAAAGGCTCTCCTCGGGATTTCCAGCAAGCCTGAGAGCATTGCCTTTCTGTCCTTGGAAACAGGAAACGAGTTGCCGTTTCCAGGAGAGCGAGTGGGGAAGGCACCCGGCTGCCCCTGGGGCACGGGGCACGGAGCCGGGCCCTGGGCCTGTCGGTTTACAGAGAGACACACGTTACATACCCAGCTCCACTTATGCGTGGTCACCAGTGACCAGAGAAGCTAATCGATGCAATGCATCTGTATCAGATACAGAAATATAGAGAAGATATTTATTGAGATTTAAGTTATTGTTATTTATTACCATTCACTAATGAATTTCTCTTTTTTCCCCTTATTTATTAAAGTTTCTTTTCAAAGGTGCCAAAGTATATGTACTCGCAAAATGCAAAGAAAAAGGTGACAAAAGGAAATTTTAATTGGGGACGCGGGTCCAGGCTTTTCAAAGTATTAACAAGTTTCTCGCTAGGCAAAAATCACTTACTTTACCTTTTTAAGAAAATCCCATTAGCTTCCCTAGGTTTCAGGTTTTTTCCCTATTTTTCTTTCTCTCTTTCTCTCTTTTTTTTTATTTTAAATATGTCAGAAGGAGTGTCTCTGGCCAGCCCCTTCCCAGGAGAGGTGTGTGGAGGCCATGGGCCTCTGTGGCCCCACCACTGAACAGATCCACCTCGTGTCCACTCTCTGCTGATTTAAGCTCTTATTCCCTTCCACGTCTATCTAGCGATAATATGCATAGCCATATATATATATACGGTGAAATTCCTTTTCATACGTAGCCCTGGATTTAATGCTGACCCAAAAGTCAACAATGCTGTCCAGTAGCCACTGTTTGGCCCTGATGGTGGGGACTCTCCCTCTACCCTTGCCCACCCGCTGCCTCCCTGAGAAATACGCTGGCCACCCAGCTCAGCCAAGTGCCCATGAATGGGCTTCAGAGGTGCAGGGTGTCCACCTCACCTCCACAGGTGCTGCTCCTGTACATCCGAGCCCCGCCTGGACATCCCGGGGCTGAGAAGGGTAGATGGGGAGGTGTGTGGTACACACGCGGTGCAGATGCACAAAGCTTCACACAGGGCACACCCCCTTTCCCATGAAGGAGCAAGGTGGGGGCGAGGCACAAGATGGGCACCCCCACTCCTGGTTGTGGATTTGCCTAGCAGGCGACACACGCTCAGTGCGTATTCAAGCATGCATGAGAGTTGTTTACAACATTCGGACGGGCATTCTAACCAGGAAACAAGCTATCACTAAATTAGGGCTGTGAGCCATGGCACTAGGGCAGATTTAGCAGTGAAATGACCTATTGGCCTCCCACAAATAATCACGCTAATTTTACAAAGTAACCAAGGAACAGAAGCTACCAGACATCCCCTCTCTGTCACCCTGAGATGCAAGTTCTCCATCATTCTGCTCCCCCACACAACTGGGAAAAGGAGGAGGGGGCGCCCCTCTCACCCTGCCCTGGGCCTTGCTGAGAAGTGGCTGCTCACAGCAGTGACAGCCCCAGCCATCTGCTCACCCAGGACACAGCTTGCACGTGGCCCCAGGAGCTGTCCACCCCAGAGGACCCTGGCCGAGGTGCTGGGGGATCGTCCCAGGTGCCCACGAGGGTCTCTGCCCAGAGAGGCTGCTGGGTTCAGTGGGGGTTGGCCGCATGTTCCCAGCATCACCTACGCACCATAAAAGCAGGCTTTAAAGGAAGCAAATTGCTCCACCCAATCCACAAAAGGGTAAAGTTTGTGATTTTTCTTTATCATTGTGATCACCAACTGATACCGTAAGGAGTGCACTTCTTTGGAAGTTCTGACTTCTCTGATCTGTCTTGGTCGTTTGTGTTATACAACCAAAGTTCTCTACAGACTTTATTTTTGTACAATATCATTTTGTAACTTTTTACAAATAAAAACTCATTTCTATTGCTCTCTGTATTTCTGTGCTTCCTCACATAGCAGTGGGCCATTGCTGCCACCCAAGACGGTTATTAGGAACCACCCCCTTCACTGCCATGCGGCCCACTGGTTGGTTATTGAGCATGCCCATCTACTGCCAGCATCCAATCACCACCCAGTTGGGGGAAAAAACAGAGTTGTTCTTCACTTACTCATTCAACAAATCATGCCTACACTGCGCCAGACATTGAGGTCCCAGGGACACAGTAATGGCCAAAACAAACATCTCTGCCTTTGTGGAGTTGACATTTTATGCAGGGCGGGGTGGAGGGTAGGGTGGGGCTGACAGACAATATGGAAAAAAGCAAAGTATGTAGCAATCCAGATGAAGATAAAATCCACAGAATGCAAACAGGGTATTACAATAGCAAATAATAAATTAATAAATATTTGAAGCAGGGGGCCTGCTTTCATTAGAGGTGACATTGAGACTGCACTTAGGAAACAGATCGTGCCCACAAGCCAAGAGCTTCCGGGGGCAGAGGAAGCAGCTTATGCAAACCCCTGAGGCAAGCAAGAGCTTGGACGGAACCAGCACTTGGCACAACTCTGGGTGACTCTGTGTCACTTCTGCGTGGCAGTGACGCAGAATCCCGGAATGGTACAAATGGGAGCCATGTACTCGGTGTATTCTGGTGGCAAGAAAAACAGTGAAGAGAGCAGTGTGGCCACCAGGGTTGGGGAGGAGTGCGCTTCCCCAGGTACACACTTGGGTTATGTCACAGACTGCCATGTGACTGTGACAGGTGGCCCTGCCTGGTGCTCAGGTGGTCCTGCATGGCCACCAGCCCAGGCTTCCCAAAGGATGTGTTAGGTGCAGCCCTGGGCTCTGAGATGCCCTCCCCTTCCCTTGCATGCTGTCCCTTGCAGCAAGACGCAGGGGAGGCTGTGGTACTGACTGGCCTCAGGCACTCAGGGTCCTTCTGGCAGAGGCTGGAGAGCAGCACAGAGCCCAGCCTTGTTTTCTGTAAGCAGGAAGTCTGGTACGAAGTTAGCCTTCCCGAGAGGGGAGGCAGAGAGGACAGGACTTCGGCTTACCTCCACTTCCTTTTTAGAGCTGTTGTCCCCAAGGGTGTTCCCGAGATAACCTATGGGGTGACACTCAAAAACACACTCAAAAAATTAGGACAGGGAAGTGGCTCTCTAAGCAAGCAAGTGGCAAACACTGAGTTAAACAGTATCCACCCCCCCCCCTTTTGTTGTATCACAGTTGTATCACAGTCTTTATTGGAATAGTGAAGGATTCAATAGTTTAGGAGTGGCGCAGTGTGCAGGGTTCTTCCAATGGATTTTGACCATGAAACCATCCATTGTTTTATTTTCTCCCTCATGAACACCTAGTGTGGGCCATGATGCCTGCTCCTGTGAGCTTTGGGGTTGAGCCTGGAGCTGCACTAGATTATCAGTAAAGAGGCAGAAATCCTGGGCAGCTCCCTCAGAAGACTACCAAGCCCCAAACACACACACACACAGAGACAGAGACAGAGAGAGAGAGAGAGAGAGAGAGAGAGACATAGGGAGAGGATTTGGACACTGGTTTCTCGCCCAGCATGAATAACAAAATGATTATCCAGTGGTCAATTTTGGAAATTTCATTCCACCCAGAAAGGAAGAATGTGTTGAAAGATGGGAAATCCTTAGCAATAAAAAATAGAACTTTCACTGTGGCTTTCCCAAAAATCCTTTCCAAGCTCTAGTTGCTTCAAACTACTTGTGCTTTGCTTGGCCTCAGTCATGAGGGCTTGCTTCCCTCCTCACAGCCAGCCAGGAGGCAAGTCTGCTCTCGCTGGGCAGAGCACGGGGGTAGGAGCCTGACCACCAGGCGTGTACACCTGCCAGCATCTCAGGGCAGCTGTCTCCAGGGTTTCAGAGGGACCTTGGAGGGTGGCAAGCACTGAGTGGTAAACTGACAAGAACTTAAAGAATCACTCTGCTACCAAGGTCGAGGTGAAACATCAGAACTGCCCAAGCCTGAGACTCACAAACACAAAGACACTCACCCGCCACCCTCTTTGCCCAAATGGTCCTACTTGGGCCATGGCCCATTTGCTCGTTGGGGAGGAGGGAGCTTGAGCATTCTCACCCCCCCACACACACACATTCACTCTCTGCCCTTGCACAGTGACAGGGAACAGACCCAGGTCTCAGCCAAGAGCCTCTGTCTTTTCCCAGTCAGGTAATGAAATATCAGAGCCCCCGGTGTCTTCTTGGGACACGTCTCTGTTAACAGAAGCGCTACGGAGATCCCACGCAATAGTTAACTCCTCTCTAGTCTCAGCCATGAGACAGCCTGAATGAAATGAAAACCAAATGCTGCCAAGTCATCCCTGGAAACAGACAGTTGGGGAAATAAAGGGAAAGCACGCATTTACTCCTAGGGGCAACACACGCACCGCCACATCCCCAGCCCGCGCAGGTGAGTGCAATGCTGAGGGGAGGGCAGACGGAAGAGGAGGAGGAGGTGGTGGGCTCCTGCTATGTGACAGACTGGTGACAAGGGCTACAGAAAGGGCTAGAATAGGCTAGCCAGAGCAGCAGGTGGGAAGAACTGGAGGGAAAATTAATCATAGACAGCTACAGAGTAGAGTTGCCAGATAAAATACAGGCACCCAGTAACATCTGAAGTTTTGATACACATGTGTAATTTTTTAGTATAGGCCCATTCCATGCAATATTTGGGACATGTGATGTGTGGGATATATCTGATACAAAAATATTTCTTATTTATCTGAAATTCAAGGTCAGTTGGGCATCCCATAGATGAATCTGCTGGATCTGGCATGAGAAAGAGATGTTTGAGCTGCATCTGAGTATGGTGGGAATCTGACCAGTCAATGGAGGCTGCAGGTGAGGGCACGGGTGGGGCTGGGTGTGCTGACATACATCCCAGCAAAAGGAACTGTGGGACCCCAGTGGGCAAGGTGAGTCATTAGCTCAGCAGACCCAGTGCCTCGGGGCTGCAAGACCTTCAGGGGCCAACAATTTTTTCATTGGAAAATATGTTTTTAATTAAAAATATGCATGTATAGAATGTTTATTTTATTTTCAATTGATAGAGAACAATGTACAGATTCATGGGGTATCATATAATATTTCGGTACGGGTACGCATTATGAGAACAAAACAAGGTAATTGGCATATCCACCATTTCAACGTTTGCTGTTCCCTTGGGTGAAACATTCAAAATCCTCACTTCTAGCTACTTTGAATGGCATTATATAGAACACAGTGCACTATTATTGACTGAAGTCGCCCTCCTGTGGGATACAGCTCCAGAACTATTCCTACTAACTATAACTTTGAACCTAGTTAATGCTTTTTAAACCAGAAGAAAATATAACAATAACTCATACATAATCATCACCTCAGCCTAGATTATATTAATCTTATAGCAACAATCATATAATTTAACAATTTTTTAAGATCTATTTATTTATGTGACAGAGGGAGGGAGGGAAGGAGAGAGAGAGAGAAATAGAGAGATGTTGCATCTGCTGGTTCACTCCTTGAATGACCACAAAAGGTGGGGCCAGGCCAGGCCAAAGCCAGGAGCCTGGGACTCCATCCCAATCTCCCACGTGGGTGCAGGGGTCTAAGCACTTGGGCCATCTGCTGCTGCTTTCCCAGGCACATTATCAGGATGCTGGATTGGAAATGGAGCAGCCAAGACTTGGACTGGCACTCTCATGGGATGCCAGCATCCCTGGTGGCAACTTAAACCTGCTACACCACAAGGCCAGCCCCTAATTTTTCAATTGTTTTAATGGAGAAGGGGCCTACAAAGGCAAAGCTCTGAGAACCCACAAAAGCCATGATGCAGCCCTGGCTGGGCCACGAACCACAAGCTTCCTGTGGCTGCTGCTCCCAGCTTCCCGCTGCTTTTCCCTTTCAGACTCATCATTAAAGCCCCCCTTGTCCTGAAAACCCCACTTCGGCCACCCTTGCAGGGAGCTTGGCTTCTTAAGATACTGTATTGCCTTCCCAGTGATGGAAGCAAAACCCTAAGTGCAGGCCATTAACATTCCAAGTCTCAACCATGAGTTTTGAGAAAAGACAACGTGAGTCAGCCATCTCCAAGAAGAGTGGCTGACAAGGGAATGGCAGCAGAGTGGGAACTGGGGCGCCTGGAAGGTGGACCAGATGGATGGGTGGTGGGGAAAGCAGGGAGAGGACACAGACTTCAGGACACCAGCAGGGATGGGTAATAACAATGAGATTTTCAGGCATGTGAATTAGATCCTTTTCATAGGAATTTCTTTTGTATTCGTAGGGGATGTTAACCCACTGTCTACTCTGTGTCTGGATCTCACACACTCAATTAATTATTTGAACATCTATGCCCTACAGGCAGAGGTGGGGGGTGTTCATATAATGACAAAGCCATTGGGGGCTCCCTGATTACAGGGACAAAATCAGGAGAGTTAAAAGAGGTGGAGGGCAGTGATCGGAGGCACTGGGCACATGTGCATGTGTGCACCTGTGTGTGTGCATGTATGTGTGTATGCATGTATATTCATGTGTGTATATGTGTGTGTGTGCACGTGTATGTGTGTGCATGTGTGAGTGTGTATGTAGGGGCTTCTTAGAGGGTCTCCTGAAGAATGAGTGGGCACTTCCCAGAGAGGCGTGGGGAGAGGAGAGGGCATTCCAGGCAGAGAGGACTGTGAGAGCTCAGCCTGAAGGACTTAACCAAAGCCACCTAGTTTGTTTGTTTGTTTGTTTGTTTGTTTGTTTGTTTTGACGGGCAGAGTGAACAGTGAGAGAGAGAGACAGAGAGAAAGGTCTTCCTTTGCTGTTGGTTCACCCTCCAGTGGCCGCCGCGGCCGGCGCGCTGCGGCCGGAACACCGCGCTGATCCGATGGCAGGAGCCAGGTGCTTCTCCTGGTCTCCCATGGGGTGCACGGCCCAAGGACTTGGGCCATCCTCCACTGCACTCCCTGGCCACAGCAGAGAGCTGGCCTGGAAGAGGG